ASSWGCTTTTTATGGTGTTTGCACATCSTTGTCCCTTTCTCTGCTTTTGTGTSCWCATCTTCCCCCAGCGACAGCAGCACCAGAGATCAGCTCTTGGATTCCTAAGGACAATGGTTGAGACAATTATTGTGGTTAATTAACAGTTTTGTTACTGTCCATCCATTTTATTTGCATTCTGTCAGATTTTCAAAAAAGCAAAAGAACTTTTGGTAGGTTTTCTATTAATGAAAATAATGTAATGATTCAGACATTGCTTCCCTTCCCAGTGCTCCACCCAGGAGTTCTACTTGATAGTCAGCACCCTGTGTCGTCTGGACTTGGAAATTCAAGCTTTTGTCCCAGTTATACAATCCCATGTGAAATCTCCTCTATTAAAAAATGCACTGTTGGAAATCCCAGACCTTCTCTCCCCAGTAAAACAGTATTTAAAGATCCTTAATGAAGAAGCAGCCAAGTAAGTAGAGAAAATGTGTTCTTCTGTGCCTCATAGGCTTTCTGACTACATGTGTTCAACTATGTGAATTAAGCATCTTGTTTTGATGCACTGTAGTTTTATATTATTTTATATTTATGTATCTACAGTTCCTGCTAGTTAAGGCAGAGGTTGTTGTCATTTGTGGCTGACATGCTTTTTTTTTAAAGTTAAACTAGGTGAGGGAGTATTTTGCCTAGTGGGTTTCTGCCTCGGGCAGAATAAATTTTTGAGCATTTCTCACCTGTTTTGGGTGTTGAATTTACAGGAAAATATGTTTTGCATTATGTTAATTTGTTTAACAGCTTTTTAATATGTTTTTTTAAGAGAAGCTATTCCTTTTGAAGAGACACTTGACCTTCAGCAGAGTGGCAGCTCTGCTGTCATCAGAATGCCTTTCTCTGTTTTTGTGAGAATTCATCAAAGCTGTCTGCCCTTTTTTGTCTTAATTGTGTCCATTGTTGRTCCATGAAAAAAAAATAATTTAGGCAGAAGAGGAAGATGCTAAATTGGAATTAATATACATTRTATTGGAGAATATCTTTCAATAATTTGGTGTGTAGTGTTTATTTTGAAGAACTGCTGCCTCCATTGTTACCCCTGCATTCTTTGCTGAGATTGTGGCAAAAAGTTTGGTTTGTAGTTCTATGGGGGCAGCATAGTCATAACTTCTGTATTCAAAACAGAAAATAAACATCCGCTTCATTTATAAAATATTTTTTATCTTTTCCAAACTGRCATTTAAAAATAAATCTGAAAATTGAAGCCTAAAACTTAGAATTAGAGATGGATCCAAGGTGTATAAATTTAGAAGTTAAGAAGGGCAGAAGGATTCCCTCTGCCCATTGGAAAGGTGGGATTGTCATTTCTGCTGATCCCTGGTGCCCAATTATAGTTGTGACAGTTTATTACAAGAAAGACTGTATCTAAATAATACCAGATTTATTGTAGGTAGGTTCAAAAAAGGTTTGTTTTTTTTTTTTCCTGTCACTGTATTGATGATAGCTAGAATAGTACACAATATATAATTGATCTGCAGAATGGRTATACTGTATTTGCATTTATTCAGAATCATTAAACCAACTTAYTTTTGGCCTTTATGTAGCTCACATTTATGTGGTGGTATTGTTTTTACTCAAAAACATTCYTTTCATCAAAATCATGGCCTCTACTCACACCAATCCATGCACACACACACTCGTGCACGTGCTGCATCACATGTTAATTTTGTTAGGAGGTGTGGATAAAACCCTGTAATTGTTCTCAAAAGTGTCCCTTTGCTCCAGGTTTGGTTTTTTTTTACAGAGAATTTGAGATTTTGGGATTTGTGTTTTTTAAACTGTCAACTTCAAAATTTTTTTGTAGGCATCATTTAGCACTGACACTCTTCACAATCAGCTGCTGGCTACTAGTGATCTTTTTTGTTTTTTTTTCCCTTTGCATTCCCATGGAAACTGGTCTAATTAGCGCAAAAATCGTTTCTAAAAATTGGTATTGTACTTTAAAATGGCATCTTTGCTGTCACTTATGTAATACCAATGCTGATGGAGAGCAAAGCCAAAGCACAGCTCTGTGCTACCTGCCCTGTATTTCCATTTGCAGGCAAAGGGCTGGTGGAGTGAGTAGAATATTAGATTTTTGTATTACTTCCATGTTATAATACTTTTCAGTTCGCTAATTACTTGCTTTCCACATATTAGTTTTCRAGGTAATGATACAATTGAGTTCTGTATTTGCTCTAAAATGCAAAGTTATATTGCAATTTACTTAGGGCTGATCGTACTGCTTTTTATTGTTTGCCTGGTACTTGCTAGAGTAAGTTAAATTTTTGTTATTTTTTTATTGCCAGTTCATCTTCCCAGTTTTAACCATTTTTATGGCATTGCCCGTTTCAGGTTTCAGTCCTGAGCTGAGCTAATGCTGCCAAAACAATTCTGTCATTTTTTGTGGCACTGGAGCTAGAGAAGGGCATTGTTTTGCATGCACTTAAAAACGCTCTGGGTAATCTTTTGTGGATAAAAGAAGGAAGCTGCTCTGTGAGAGTAGTGATGGCATTCTGCTTCGGAGAGGGTCTGGATGGGGGGGATTTTTCCATGCAGTCCTTAAAAAAATGCGCCCAAATTTGGCYGAATTCTAAATGTGTCAAAAATCTGCATTCATGGTTCACAGAAATTCCCTAGAATTTCACATTTATGCAGTAAAGATGCTGTCAGCAGTTGGGGTGCTCTTTATGTCATGAGTACAGTTTGGGCTGTGCCCAAGCACCTGAAAATRTGGATTTAGAAGGGAATTGAGTGTTGAAACAGATGAAAATAACAAAATCAGGCCACAGCCAGCATAAATGGGGACTATCTCCCTCTTTTTACCATTATTTTAACATTTCTTAYGGATAGGACTGGAGATAAAACACARTTGTTCAAGGACCTCACAGACTTCCCTGTCATCCGAAAGGAGAAGGAGGAGATCCAGGATGTGCTTTCTAAAATCCAGCTGCATCTGCCGGATATTCGCAARCAGATCAAGAACCCTTCTGCAGAGTATGTCACAGTTTCGGGTCAAGAGGTACTGTGGGGTTTTTGTTATGTATGACTGTACCTGTTCTTGCYGAGAAAATAGCTTAAAAGCAGAACCTCGCTGCAATATTCATTGAGTGTGGTGCTTCATTTGATTGTAATCTTTGTGCAACTTTGGAGAGCAGCTTTCTTACCCTGTGCCTGTTTTATTTGTTAAGTCATTCGCTTTAGTGACTTAAAGAATAGAAACGCATCAGTGCGGTTGAATTTTGGTTCAGTAATTCTTTGCTTTTCTGTCTGCCTAAAAAACACTCAGATRCTTCCAAGGTTCGTTGTATGGCTATTAAGTGCTGGAAAAAACTCTCAGAAAACCAGGAAGCGCAGCGTTTGGTTAATTTGAAGAGTGGTGAAAGGATTTCTGAGTACTGAGTCAGCCTGTAATTTGAAAGATGGAGAGGAGAGGGAGCAGCAGTGAAGAGTGATAAGTGTTGTTTTACTTCCAATTCTCGGAAATGGCGTTCTGGACTGGGAACTTTTGTTCGTGGATGCTGTGCAAGTGTGGGCAGGACAGGATCCAGTGAAGTGAAAAACACAGGCAGCAGCTCCTGCTGTGCTCKTGGAGGAGCTGAAAGAACGGGGAGGCAGCACTGCTCAGCGTCCTCCTCTGGAACTGAGAGCAGGAAGCTGGGAAAAACTCTGCAGGAAATTGGGGAAAAAAAAGGAGTTAGGAAACAGAATGAAAGTTGTGAATGAGGAGAGGAGTGGGTGAGGACAGGGAGAGAAGGGGCTGGAAGAGGTCCATGGGGGAATTGGGAAGCTGAGAAAGATCCAAGAAACMTGGGAGGGAGCAAACAGGTGCTGCTGAAAACGAGGGAGGGGATGAATTAGAGACAGCAGCCTTTGATAAAGACCTGATGTGGATATTCCTGTTGAAGCTGAGAACAGGAACCACACGGCCCAAGAGTCRGGTGAGCTGTCTCACAGACACTGAAATCCAAGGGAAAAGTGGAAGAATGTGTTTTGAGTGTTGTTTGAGGCCGGAAAGAGCAGGATTTGAAAGGTATCTCTCAGGGAAGCTGGGTTAATAGCTGCATCTGTGTGGAGTGAAGGAAAAGAGCGGAACTGATCAAAGAGAGGAGAGCACTGGAAAGGGGTTTCAGAGGCAGTGACTGCACACATTTCAGAGAGGTTCTTTGTAGCAGGGCACGGCTCAGAGACCTCTGCACACACAGAGATGTGTCTGGTGCCRTGATGAAAGGAGCTGCAGAGGTTGGGGACAGCTCTCACTGCCTGACATCTGGTGTGGGTGTTTCACACACAGCAAAGGAGGCAGCACAGCGGGGTCAGAGAGGATGCTCAGTGAGGAAAGGAAAGATGCCAGAGGAAAGGAAGTAATGGAAAGTGAATTGTATGGGAGGAGTGTAGAACACAGGGCTGCAGCAGGAGTTTATTTGATTTGAGCTATTTCTTTGTCAGATTTGTGTGGTATATTCTTCTCATGTTTTTGTAGCACCCTGATGGATGTAAAATTCAAATGCTGCYTCACAACAGAGAAATATCTCATGCTTTGGGTGAATTGAGAATTAGTGCACTGTGTCCTTGCCATAGCCATGTGTTAGGATTGTTATCCTTGTTTGTTCTTGAGGGTGATTGCTGCTTCCTCTGGAAGTTTCTATCCAAATCTTATTAACTGCTATGGAAAAGTTCTGTCAGACATGGCTCTTGTGGCTTTCCATAAATGTGCTCAGGTTCTGTGTTAACCTAATCTCTGCAGGAAATTCGTTTTCCAGCTGAGTTCTGTGACGTGAGGATGCCTCAGCTCCCTGACATCCAGGACCTCAGGCCATTGTTACAAAGATAACTGACATGAATCATATAAAATACTGCGAGAAGCACGTCACATGAATTTCAGTGCTCTGCTGGTTTTCCCTGTCCCTCCTTTTCTGACTCYGAGTTCAYTCSTACCTAAAGCAAGGTTCTGTAGGTWCAGAAGGGRTTTGTATCTCATAAACCCAGGATTTTTGGGAAAAAAAGAACATTCTCTTCTGGTCTGCTCATTCTCTTCAGGCTGAATGTGATTTTCCTCTGATTCTTGCAGTTTCTTGATGAATGGTGACTTTGATTCCCCAGTCTTCCTGACTTCCCATGATGTGTAATATTACATTTYTGTTCTTTCAGTTTCTGGTAGAAGTCAAGAATTGCCATAAGTCATCTGTGCCAYCTGACTGGGTTATGGTTAGTAGGTATGTAAGATACCTTTGAAGTTTGTTCTAATATTTAGGAAAAAACAGGAGGTCTTTTGGTATTACAATTAATTATATACACATCCTAATTGTCCCATGTGTTTAAGTTTGTTGGTTTTTTTTTTAGCTGGAAACCCAACCAAATTGTAAATTTATTGCTTAAAAGAAAAAAAAAACACCCAAAAATGAATAAAAAATTATATCTTACAGCATTTGTTTTTACACAGTAGATGCTTAGAGCACACAATTACTCATCCAGTCTTCCAAGGTGCAGGTCCTGGTGTCAGAGATGTGGCCTTGATTCACTTGTTCATGTACCTTGAATTTTATCCTTCATAAAATTTTGATTGTTCTTAGTTTATTCAGAAAGGTTAAAGTAGCTGTGCAAACATCCGTTTACACATCTCAGTAGATTCAGTGTATTTAAAATATCGTTTTACTTACTCATACACACAAGCTTTTCTTGCTGTGGTACTCAGTGTAATGTAAACTTGATTTTGGATAATTTTCCAGCAAGTGAAACAGAGATGCACTGATTTATGTAGTTGTCAGTTTTTTGCTTTTCAGTGATTTGATTTATGATTTGGATGGGTTGAATACCTGAGAGTTATAATGTCCATGTAAATGCTGAATTCTCTACAAGCCCCAGTGTGTGAGATGTGAGCAAAGTCATCTCTCACCAAAATGGGCTCTGAAGAGATGTTCTACTCACTTATGCAAGAATTGAGTATTAAAAGTGCACAGATCAGATAGAATTAAYGACAAATTACAGCTAATCTGTATTCTGTAAAAGAATGCCTTGATGTGCCAAATGAAGTCCTTAATGAAAATACATCAATAAATAGCGAGTGCCTCAAGTGAAAACTAGCAAGGCACTCTGCATTTAGTATTAYTATATTTATTTCAGGCTTAGCATCAAGTTTTCCTCCTCAAAGTGAATTTTTTTGTGTAGCTCATTGTGTGTGCARCCACAGAAGAGTCACGCACCTGGATGGTTACTCTGAGCTTCAAACTTTTGTGAAATGTTTAAACTTGGTTGATAATACCCCTCTGTGCCCAGCATTTCAAAACCTTTGGAGTAGGCAGTGGTGCCATGACTGACCACTTTATTCACAGAAAAAGGTCATTGCAATAATACACCTTGGTATCACAATGAAAAACTTCTTTTTTTTTTTTAAAAGCATCCATTGTCAAGTCTCGCGGAGATTAAGAAAACAAATCCAATTTTGCATGTAGATGGTGTAGCTGATTGCCTGGTAACCTTGATTTCCAATCAGTCCTTTCTCCCTGTTGCAGCACAAAAGCTGTCAGCCGCTTCCACTCTCCTTTCATTATAGAAAATTACAGACTCCTGAACCAGCTCCGGGAGCAGCTCGTCCTTGACTGCAGCGCCGAGTGGCTGCGCTTCTTAGAGTGAGTTCACCCCGAGAGGCAGCTCTCACATTGTGTTCCCTTCTTCTGTGCCAACTGAAAGGGAGGAATGTTTATCTTGACAAAGGAGTTAATAATTATGTTGTCCACAGCAACCTCACGAGTGGTCCATTAAAATGCTTTTCTTCATTTGAAAGTGTWTAAGGTCGGGACCTTTGAGCCTGAGTCCTGAGACCAGCAGCGTTTTGAAATGCTGATGAAAATACAGCRTTAACAATACAAAATGTATCACAAAGTTGGACAAATAATGTCATAGCATTAGCAATCTGAGAGTACAACTGACTCTGAGTGAAACTGAGTCTAGTTGGGTTTATTGGATTTATTGTTTCGTTATTGTTTATTGTTTTTAATATTATGTAGTAGTTTTATTATTTTTTTTAATATTTTGTATACTTCCCTGACTGTGTGAGTTTGCTAGAAGGTAGTGGGAGTTTTATTGTCCCCCACATCTGGCACATCTGTTTGTCTGAGATCAGAGTTGTCAGTGGGTTTATTTGCCTCTTTAGCCACAGGATCTTTAAAATGGGAGTTTAARAAATACTTCCTGGGCTTCTGAATGTCTTTAATTTTTCAGGTRCCTGTTTATCTGTTATTTTTCACTTCTGTGAAATACAGAACCACTGAAATTGTTCCTCTTGTCATCCAATGATAGTGTGCAAGAACTTACCAAATCCCTGCTCAGGTTTTCTCACTGGATTTGCTTCCCATTAGGAACCCAGAAATTCTGAAAAATGGGTAAAAACTGGAAAAACATTCCAATTCACACTTCTAGTCGTGTTTCCTATAAAATCAGCTCTCCCAGTGTTCACTTGTAGTAGTGGTGTGTGAGAGCAGCAGAAAAAAAGGAAAGACCTGTGTATGGGGAAGTGCTCTTCTTTCCCACCCKCCATTCATTTATGTCTTTGTTTATTAAATTTTGCTCCCCTGCTGGTTTTATGTCCTATATTGCAGCTTTGAGGCTAGGAGAGAGGAAAAGAGAAATTCCAGAGGTCTAGGATTGTGAACTCTACTAAAAACTCTGTTCTCCTGGTAACCTCATTATTGTACTGGGRAAGCAACACCATAAATTGAAAATGAATTTTCTGTTGCAGATACCATACTTCATTTGAAATTTTAGRCAACCTATGTGTTCAGACACTCTTAGTTTGGTTCTTCTGTGACTGCAACTTATGGTTGAGGTTTAATCAACAGCTGGGGAATATTCAAGTGCTGATGTTCTCTGTCAGTTCTGATCAATTATGACATTTCTGTACACTCATTTAGGCAGCAGGGATATGCTGCTGACCTTTGCAATCTAATGAATTCCATTTTGGCTGATTTTTTTTTGCTTAACCAATAAATCAYTGTTAGAATGGGACTTGAAGTCCACCTTGATTGAGATGTGTCCTCATGTTATATCTCATACCCTGCTGGGATATTTGGGTTCAGGGTGATTTAAAGAGCACAGGAACCCTGTGAGCAGCTTGCATGGGGTGCATATTGACAGATCTCATGTATCTGTATGGAACTACTTTTTTCCCTTTTTTTTGTGTAACTTTTGCCTGTTTTGATGCAGCGATTTCAGTGAACATTATCACCCCGTATCCAAAGCCATTTGTCACCTAGCAACTGTGGACTGCCTCTTCTCATTGGCCCAGGTGGCCAAACAAGGAGACTACTGCAGGTAATAAATTTTTAATTTTAAATTTTTATTTAGGATTTTATATGGAATTCTAAGACTGTGTTTAAAATAAATTAGGTTTTAATATGTGTACCGTGATAAAAATGTGCTATTAAAATTGTTTACAGTGGTTTCAACTTAATCTTGATTTTGCAGAGCAACAGTTTTGGGCTTAATGCAAATTTGTAAACACTGCAGTTCAAATTTGACATCTTAATGTTTGTTGTTTAACCTGAGTGTAGTAGATGATACCTCGCTTACACATAAATAAATTTTGGACTTTGCATGGACTTTTTTCTGTCTTTTTCTTTTCCTTGAAATTATTATTATTGTTTTTTATTCTCAACGAGATCTGAGCTTAGGATCTCTTTCTAATACCTAAAAGCCTGAGGTATCTGAGGTATGTTTCAAGGGTGCATCTCAGGTAATTAGTAGGTAGATATTAATTGCAGAGCAGTGGTGCTGCCTCAGCTGAGATGAGGTGTGAGGAGCTGAGCTGAGATGGATAAAGAGAAATCCACCCGCCAATATTTCCACTTTGATCCATCGTTAARGATAAATATCCGTCACTTCTGGACCCTTGGGATCCTGTGTGCTTCTACCAAAATCTCCCTGAAAGTAATTGCTCACTTACTTCTGTATACTCAGATGAGAAAACAAACTGAAATCTGATTAATTCACTCTGCAGAGTTTAAATAATTCACTGAATTTTGGAGTGGCTTAGAGCTGATAAACTAGCAGGGAGGAAACTTCTCAGTGAAACCTCAGCTGCAGGGGAGGTGTCAATAATTAATTTTGGAGGGCTGCTGAAGGAAAGGCTGAGGATTTAATATTAAGTATTTTGGAGGGATTTTTTTTTGATTTGTGAGGATTGTTTTGTGTTAGCCCTGCGTGAGGCAGGTGAATGAGTGCGGGCAGGAGCAGAGCTGGGGAGAGGTGAGCCCTTTTTGCAGTTTTTGTGAGGCTCTTGATGCAAACAATTCTCAGCATCAGGAGATGTGCATCTGGTGGTGTGGGCAGCCCACAGTTGACCCTCTGCACACTTGAACTGAATTTAAGTGTAAGGAATGGTGTTTTAGAGAAACCTGACACTGTCCATGTGCTGGTTTCATCTCAACCTCCCACCGTTATCAGTTTGTGCCTCTTTCCCCCGTGCTTTGTGTTTGTAGGATGGTGTTTAATCGATTTCCACCTTCCTTTGAAATTGCATTATCATTCTTCAACATGAGAGAAATCTCACTCCTCACATCTTTCCTTTAAAGTCCGCCCAAAGTGTTAATTAATTTCCAGTCTTACAATTCTGTGGCTTTATTCCTTTATTCTTTTTTTTCAGTCTTTAGTAATGCTCGATGACAGTAATTAATTTTTATAATTTGTATTTTTTTCCAGCAAAACCTACATCATAGGTGACCCTCCTACAGGCTTTAGTTACAACASTTCTAAACAATCAGTTACCAAAGGCACTGAAAGTAACATCCTTTCTTTTTTTTTTGCAGACCAACTGTGCAGGATAACCGGCGAGAAATAACMATAAAAAACGGGAGGCACCCTGTGATCGATGTTCTGCTGGGAGAGCAGGATCAGTACGTCCCAAACACCACCAASCTTTCTGTGAGTACCAAGAAACTGCCTGAGCCTCAGAATCCTTCAAGGCAAGGGGGCTKGGGTGGGCAGTGAGCTGGAATAGGTGATTTAATTACCTGATTTAATCACCTGCTTTAATCACCTGATTTAAYCACGCTGCTGCCTCCTGGGCTGCATTTCTGAGAGGTGTTGCTAGATGTCACCACATCTGTTCTGTCCCTCTGCTGGTACCTCAGCCACATGCTCCCTGTGCAGCCTTGTTCCGTCTTAAAAAAGAAAATAAAGGTGATGTCAAAATGAGRAAAATGCGTGATTCAAATGGTTGTTTTCAAAAACCCAATGAATAATTACAGKTTTTTTTAACACTGTCGTCATAGGGTGTCTGCATTTTGTCAAAACTCAATCTCTTTAATTTTTAAATATGCAAAATACATGTTACAGGTTCAGTTTTCCATATTAATTCTAAGATTACTTGTATTTTTTATGTGTTTCCTTTMTTTCTGGAAGTATTAGTGTCATACAGCGTTTTTTTTTGTGATAAACTAAAATCTGTCTTGTAAATTACACGCCTGTTTGAAACTTTTCATTAAATATTTACCTCTCCATATCTTTTTATAAATATTRAATATCTGTTCCTAATGAATATAAAATATATGCTCACAACTTATCTCTGAGGTGTCCCTTCCTCTTTATACAATAAATACAGGAAAGGTATGAAAGAGCTACCAGTGTTGTGGCATTGCTGTGAAATACAGCATCCAAATTTGTATGTATTTCTTGGGGAGCGTTTTTAAGTGCTGTTCTATACTGAACAATGATACAGATATTTTGTAATGCTTCAGAGAACGTTTTCAAAATTATTTGTCAACTCCAAACAAGCGACAGATGGCACTTCCTGAAAAATTCAGCGCTTCATTCAGGAACCATCACGCACTTCTCCCTCTTTAGTCCCATTCTTATGTTGGCTTTCTAAATACTGAATATTACAAAACCAAGTGTTCGTGGCAGAATCAGTTTTGCTTCTACAGTTTTGAGTTGTTTCTTTCGTGGGAGATGTGGGTGGGAACCAGTTCATTAATGCATCTCCAGTTTCCAACTGATGTGTTTGAATCAGCAGGAAAATACATCTCCTGTCATGTTGTCAGCTGAAATGTTGTCAAATATCTAACTTGAGGARAAGCTTTTTCTCATTGCCCTGAAATAAACAGCTTATTTTTCCATCCCCCCCCTCTTCCCCAAATGTTTGTGGGTTGGTTTAGAGCATTTACCTTCAGCTGTGAATTGCAGTAAGATTTTGGCTCATGTGTTTTATGGACAGAGGGGTTCTCTGGTCTGGTGTTAGAGCAGAGTTCCTTCTGCAAAGCAGAACATTGGCAGAGCAGAGCAGCCATCAGTCCCACAGCACAGCTGGAGGGGGCCTGGACACACACCAAAAATATGCAAGAAATTAATGGATTTTAACAGATGAACTTGTGAACTCATTCTGGTTTTAGGTATCTATAAATTCTASTGACAAAGTTTTAGTAGCAGTACTGAACTCTACTTTGGAGACGAGAATGGTCTTTATTTTGTTCTCATAGGGTCATGTGAACTTTATTACTTTCATCCTTTATTCCCAATAACGGCATTTTCTTTATTTTGACTGTATTGTGACTTCTGCGTGCATGAGGTTTTTTTGCAACAGCTGATCAGCTTTTCACATGTAATAAATACTGATGTGCTGTGTGATATCCTTGCATAACTTGAGCTCTGTGTCTCCATTCAGGCTGAGAAAGCTTTATAGGTTCATTGACAAGCTGTAGTTTTGTATCAGCAATTGTCATGCACTAGAGGAAGACAGTTTTATTGTGGAGCAGCAGACACGTGGCACACCACGGGCAGTCTTACTGCTGAGATGAGTTTTTGCATCTCATTTCTCGTTGTTGTATCTGTTTTTAATAATGAGAAGCCCTGATGGAGGTTGGGAATGGTCTGCTCACAGTACCTATTGCAGTCAAATATTGCCAGGAATGTCTTGGTACCTCATTGTAGCTACTCTGAATGTCCTTGTGKCATACCAAGGCAGGCAATTACAAATGCAAAATCAGGGTGAGGTCTTTGTCTTCCAGATATTCCCATTTGACAGTGAGAACTGCAGCTGGACAGGAATACAGACCAGAATTGAAATAGGGCGGTTCTGGTGGTGCTGAAGCTCGTGGCTTTCTCCCTTTCTCCAAAGAAATTGCACAGAACCCCAGAATGGTTTGGGGTGGAAGAAACCATAAAACTCATCTCATCCCACCCCATCCATGGCAGGAACCCCTCAGCTGCTCTGGGAATTCCACCCAGGGAACAATTCCTGCCCAATATCCCATCCATCCCTGCCCTCTGGCAGTGTGACCCCATTCATTCCCTGTGTCCTGTCCCTCCATCCCCTGTCCCCAGTCTCTCTCTCCATCTTTCCTTTGGTCCCTTCAGGCCACTCTGAGCTCACCCCAAAGCTTCTCCTCTCCAGGCTGAACAATCCCAGCTGTGCCAGCCTTCCCTCCCAGCAGAGCTGCTCCATCCTCTGCCCATCCTGGAGCCTCCCCTGGCCTGGCTGCATCCAGCCCTGCATCCCTCAGCATCCCTTGCTGCTCACTGTGCTGTCACCAAGTCCCTCCATTCTTCCTTGGCTCCTTGATGGAGAACGGGAAGGTCCCCTCTCACTCTGTCCATTTTGCTCAAGAGTATCCAAGGTCAATTTTGGTGCATCTGGGACTTTGATAATGTCTGGAAAAATGGATGTGGTGAACACCAGGAATGAAGGAATGCTGCTCAGACATGGARTATTTACTTCTGTGTCCTTCTAATCACACACCCACCCCAGGCTTTCTGGCAGGAGCACCATGTACAAGGCAGTGTGTTTCACCAGTGTTTTGTGTTTCCAGGGAGATGGTGAAAGGGTCATGATCATCACTGGGCCCAACATGGGAGGGAAGAGCTCCTACATCAAGCAAGTGGCGCTGATCACACTCATGGCACAGATCGGCTCTTTTGTTCCTGCTGAGGAGGCCACAATTGGAGTTGTGGATGGCATTTTCACCAGGTGACCTCCCAAAACTTGCACTGTGTTTATGGAAATGTTTCTGTGCCAGGGGCTGTGGGCATTGAAGTATAATTTAATTTTTCCTTTACAACTTGGGAATTTATACCTCAAGCTTTCCTTTTTTCATTTTAAAGGCACCTTAGGTTCATTGCTGGGTTTGGATTCCAGTTTTCCGGTAAAATGTGGTTCTTGTTTAGTAATCTTTGAGTCTTCAAAGGTTAAGAATTTTAACATGCAGGTATTTAACTTACCTGCCTGAATGGACATCACAGCCAAATTTGTGCTGCTGGGTGGTGGCCAAACGATGTTTCCCCTAAGTGAATGTTGTCACCTGTTGTGTGACACCTGTTGAATCMTGTCACAGTTGATGCCCTTTTATTYATTTAAAAATGTGTCATTATTCATTTAAGAATGAATAATTACAGTTTATTTCACTGTCTCATTTTTGAGACATTGCTCAGTAATTTGTAAAAATTGTCAGTGCAGTCAAAACTCTGTATTTTACAATTTAATATTGCTGAGGTTTATCCYCCTGTTTTTCTCCCTTTTTGTTTCATGATTTCTTTGATCAGTAAAAGTTGCATGTKATTGGTGGTATTTGAGATGGGTTATCATGTGTGGTTAAGTTTCACAGTAACCAGGTATCTGAGCTAGAATTTCCTGAAATTCTKGTTCTGTGATGGCTTCTGCATTGCAGAGGTAACTTTTAATCGAGAAACCCGAAGTACTGCTCACCTGGGATTGCTTCATCCTATGAAGGTGTGTTCCTATTCACTGCATCACGACAAAAACAAATTAAAATCRCACCTTGATGCTGATCTGTGCTGAGAAAACTGGCAAAGGATTTGTGAAATGTGAAAAGTAATTGGAGATGGGAATTCAAAATGCTTCCCTTCTTTCCCTACCCTTGTTGAGAGTAATGGCCTGGCTGATGGGATGAGCATTGAGCATTTCTCATGAGGACAGGGAGAGACACAGGATCTGATTTGCATTACAGATCCTTTGATGGTGCATTTATACCATCACTAAACATTTGAAGATTATTTTTGTCTTCYTCTGTGTTTTGTAGCTGAGCTTGGAGTACTTTTCTTGGGTTCACACTTCCTGAAATTCTAATCATACACAAGTCTGTTGCTCTCAAGCTGAGTGTCTGCTTTCCTCTGCTTTTCCTAGCCTGTCACTGCAAAAGGATGATTCCTGCAGAAAATGTTAAGATGTGTGACAYAGTCATTGGGAGAGACGTTTTGTTTTGTGCCCACTTGAAAGAGAATAAATTGTCTTTTTTTTGTCTGAGTTCCACCTGTTCCTCAGTGTATTTCCCCAATTCCACTTTGCTTTTCTCTTTATAAGAATAAAACCCAAGTGTTTTCCAGAACTTCTCTGATAAAGTAGTGTGGTTGAAAATAAAACTTCTGCTTTGTGACTTCAAGCCAAGCAGGCATAGAGTGTATTTTTTACTCTGTGAGGCTTCAGACCATTTCCTTTGTTGCCCAGTCACATTCTCACACAGGGGATTGGTATTTTTTTCCCTAGTCTATATTAGTTTTGGAAGCTCAGCTGGATGTGCCATCTTTCATTTAGTGTGATATGTGTCAAACAATTAATTTCTGGRTGAATGTGTGGAAGAATTACTGAAATTGCACTAGCAGTTAAGAGTAAACTAATTGACTCAATATTAATCAAGAAGAAATTGATAATATATTACTGAGAAATAGTCATGCATTAGTTAAAAGGTAACAGGGGAGAAAAAAAAAGAAAAGGAACAGGTTAACAGAACCAGCTCAGGGTGTACAGACTCTGTCCCAGAAGTAGGTGCCTCTCTTTTGGTTTATTTGGGGTTTTTTTGGGGGTTGGTTTTGGTTTTTTTTCAGGAATTTTAACATATGGAAGTCTTTCAGACAGGTTAATGTGGTGTTGCATTGAGGGCATTTCTCAACCTTAGGAAGTTACCCTTGAAATCATTTTTAATGCCTAGTTCAAAGAAAGAATCAATAAATCAGCTGTTATGTTCTGTTGTACTTGAGGTCTGAGGTGTTTTTCTAAAGCCTCAGCTTTTGCTCTCTGCTCTCCTTTGGTGGGGAATGACCTGGAAGAGATCAGACACTTTSTCTTTAACCCACTTTTGCTGTTTTTGTTTTCATCTTCTGTACTTTGTTTTGCAGGTTGCTTTTGTTTTGTTTTATATATATATTTATTTTATTTKAAATATTTTTTTCCAATGATAAAAACAGCTGTGTAGACCTCCTTTCTGCACTGCCACCCCAGGCCACAGGGTCTCGCTGGAAAATGCAATTTTGCATTTTGTTTTTGATAACTTGGGTACATTTTAAATACTTAAAAAACTTAACGTGAGAAGATGTCAGTTTCCAAGGGGCTTCCATCAGTTCTGTGGTGATTTTTTGGGGGATGCTGTTAACCTGGTACCCCTGCAGGGAGGGACACAGAGAGGGATGCTCAGG